TATATACACAAATAAAAACATTCGCATTCATTTTTCAATAGTTACTATTTCTTCCTAAAGTTTCGAAAGAGGCAATCAATTTCTCAACCCTACAATCTAATTACTAATACAATAGAGCTGTGTAATGATGGCTGTCGTAATCCAGTGGGAGAACGATTACATCCGAATCCCTGTGGCAGCATGTTTAAGTTACGTACATTTGTGACTAACTAATATCGACGCTTCTCACCTGCACATCGAGATAAGTTCACAAGCCTTGGAAAAATATGTGAAATTCCCAACCCGTATTGAGGCACAGTGGCGAACCATAATCCCGCCAATACTTCCTTAGAAGCGACCCCATGGATTGATGTTAATGAAAATGCGTAATACCAATTTTGCAACAATTATGAAAATATTAAGGTCTGACCAGACCACCATGAAAGTGACAATAAACAACACTGCAGTTGCCATAAAGTGTCCCTATACAGTGACGTTATACAGCTAAAAGTTATGTTACCATCATACGATATTATACGACCGTCGAGTGTAGGAAAGATAATGGTCTTATAAAACACTAATGAATTAACGTGGTTTCGCCCGCAATGTAAATGCCAACTGAGGCGTATTAAAATTAGTTTATTAATTATTAATTTTAATTGTGCTTGTCTTCTTTGTATCTTAAAAGTCTATGGTAAAAGTTTAAACTTTAATTCCTCCTCTGTAATTTACAAGTAAGTACTCCTTCAAGATTAAATGCTACATTTTTATTTTTAATATAAAACGGATACACACTTAGCAACAATCTCATACGACGTTTAAGCGACTGTGTAACTAATGATGGTACAGTCAAGAGCATATTAAGTTCGACACTTTGGGCTGTTCTTATTATAACCGGTATAGGGTTCAATTGACTCTACACACTCTAGTTAGCACATGATATACGTATAAAATACTATCAAATTGTTATATATAAGTGCTATCTGAATGCATTTTGAATCGCTGTAATCGTAATGTTACGTTCCCATCTGTGTGCTGCAAAAGTTTCATTCATTTTTATGTAGACAAAAAAAAATACAGGGAATTTCATTTTATATGAATTCTGGTAAAAGCCAACATAATTGTTGTAACAGACTAATCTAGATTTGCGACATTATTGAATATTTATGGTCTAGAGAGAAAATATAAAGGGCAATGTTTATGAATCATTAACAACGAGATGACCGATGATGTGTAACTTTCCCCGGCTACAATGTGAATGTCGCGCAGCGCGGAATATCGTGTCGTATTGCTTTTATTAAGTGTTTGTTGCGAGCAATTTGTAACATACATTCTAATGTCCAGATTTGTTAAGTTAAAGGTTTGTTGTTTTAAAATTATTTGAGAACAATTGTACTTTACTTGTAACGAGGAACGAAGTAACCGCGAAAATAACTTAGTCGTAATTTTGCAAATGTTTTGCTAATAATTTATTAACTTATTTTGGGAATGTTTACAGTAGCACCGTAACTCAAAATTACTTTATTTCATGTGCAATATAGAAAAAATCATTGCCAGAGCCTAATTGTGGTTGTGAAATTAACTGAGTAAATCTTTTGTATACGTCACAACCGGGCACGTGACAGTATTTCAAATCGTGTTGTTATTTTTTTGTTTTTGCTTTACTGTCGTTTTTAATTATTCTATTTATTATATATTCTTTGTGAAAGTACTCCTCTAGTTTGTTGTTATAATTGATACAAATATCCAACAATCTCAAAGAACAAATACTTTCAATTCAATACTGCTGGGCTACTGTGGTATCCGAAAACTACAATTTGGAGCTATTTGAGGCTAGATATAAACGTTACTTTTTAGACGCCGTACTGTTACATCGTCGCTTAACATTTGGTGAGATTGTGGGTAACTGTGTATCTATATCACATTAAAATAATCAATAATGTAATGTAGGAACAGTGAATAATGAATTATGTTTTTAAGGCCGTAGTAGTAAAGTAGCTGAAATGAGTTGGAGTCCTTGCGGCTGCTCAAATTGCAGACCGAGCGCGAAAATTTAATAGAATATCTAATATATAATATAAATATATAATAAATGCTGTGACTATCAGAAAAGGCTATGCCTTATTACACTATACAATTGCAAACGCAAACAAAACGAATGTTGACATTTTCTATTTTAGCTAAAACGTGATTCGTAAAAGTTATAGTAAAAACTTTATTTTCATATTTCAACAGATAACTAATGATGTCGTCATGATTTTGTGGCAAAATATACAAAACTAATAATACCTTGTTTTGTTAGTGCTTAGCGCATGCGTCGCTAAAAAGTTGTACAATATATAAAATGTATAATTTTATATATGAATCTTTAAAAATATTTCATTGTCGTTCCGGTGTTTGTGTTAGATATTATTACCGTAATACGAATTATTATTGTTTGCGTCACGTTTTGGTGTGGTGGCCCAGTGGGAACATGGTTGCCATTCAATTTAGAGCTCTTTAACTTCCCACTTACGTACATTTGTGATGTTTAGCTATGGCATAAGCGTTCGCTAACGGCGAAGGAAAACGTCGCGATGAAACCCCCGTGTCGAAGAACATCCGCAACTCTCGGAAAAAGGGTGAAATCCGTTATATAAACGTTTTCCGTAGCGCAGTTCAGTACCTAGCAGTGGGACGTATAATGAATTGACGGTGATGATCCCACGTTTATGTAGGCAACTAATGCTCGCAAATAAATCGATTACCGACAGGAAAATCTTTTATATAAAATGTAATAAATTCTACTAAAGTGTAGAGATTGACAAAGCAGAAGGTAATTTCCGCCGTAACTCTCAAACAAAGAGATGGGTACTATTATGCTAACAAGGCCTTTGAGGGCTATTCTGCTATTCTGATTGAAAAACATGAAAAACATGAAAAAATCCGCCTTTCAAACGTGTCAAACCTACTCTAACCGAGTTCGTGAAGATATTACTTGCCTTCATGGCCGAACGGTTACCATGCCGGAGTGCCACGCAGAGATCCCAGGTTCGATTCCCGGGCCGGGAAAAATATTTGTATGGCCTACGTTTATTTCTCTCGTGAGTTTGGGTGTAATTTGTGGTTGTCTATGAGTGTGTCCATGGCACCCGCGACACAGGGTGCGGCTCCGCACTAGGGAAATCCTGCTTGTTGAGCGCATGTTGAGTGTGTACGTTATTAAAAGAATGTGCAATGATGATTCAGAGATCCGAACATGTAGAGTAAATTTACCTTTAACATCAAAGAAGTAATACACATAGAGTCGGTAATACCTATAATAACAATAATAATAATATTTATTGTTACAAAATAGTTACAACACAATAGTGAAGTCCCTGACGCCTGAGCTAGGTATAACCTGTGTTACAGGAGTCAGTGTCCTCTCTCAAACATTTGACCTTACATTAGCTATTTCTTAACGTACCTCCATCTGAAATCCAGGAATTATTGTGTTGTGCTTCTATTTTGTTATGTATTTTACATGTGTAATTAGCAATTACTTTACTACGTATTTACCAGAAAAGTTATGTAATCATAATTAAAAATGTAACATTTTGTTTTAGTTTTTGGGTTTTATTTTTAATCATGCTAGAATTGCAAAGGAATACCTCCCTCTACGTTAATTACTTCAAATTTTTGTAAATATAATACACGTTGATGATATTCAAAAACACTTGGGAATTTTGAACGTTAATTGTAAAGACACAGTGTTAACAGAAAAGAAATTCTGTAGAAATCTGTTTTAAACTAGAATGCCAGTTCAAAATAACATTTACAGTGAAAAAGGAGCTAGCGTGTGTTCGCCTCTGGCTCGCATTTTAATTATTAGTATTCCTTTTAATCAACAAAAAAATTATACAAGAAATTAAACTGTTTTGCTGACCGTAATTAGAATATATCAAAACTATACACGTGGAGCTAAATGTCGAATCCATTCCGCCGAAGCGGGATTTATCCGCCGGAGCGGGATCTATCCGCCGGGAACATCCGTTCTACCCATCGAGCCGAGACGAGCTCGTTTGTCGGGAATAAACAGAAAATATGGAGTTCCACTAAAACGTACATTAATGTTAATATTTTAGGCTACTCCTTACTTAACACGACGTATAAATACGTTAATACGACGTATAAATAATAAGTAATTAGTGCATATGAATGCGAGCGCAATCCTAAGAAATAAATATCACTTGCGATACAAAATGAAGACGAAGACATTGTATAAAAGTAATAATATTTTTGACAGTATTGTTATATTCTTTTGTTGAAGAACATACTCAATTAAAACATTATAACAGGACCAAACCCGTGTGTTGTTGATCCAACAAAGCAGTGAAACGGGTTACTCACGTTAATACCAACCTCAAATGGTTACCTCGGAATAGTCCAAAAATATTAAATTAATTTTATTATAGTCGGCCTAATATCTAAGCATTATTCACTTCAAGTACGATGGCACCTGGAAAATAAATGTGATTTTGTAGCAATCGTTCAATTTTATTTAGAAACTACTATACTAATTTACAATGAAACATGTTCTTCAAACGTCCGACTAAGCCGCAGCGAATAAAGCTCGTTACTGTCGTGATACTGCCCATTTAAGATTGCTCTGGGCCTCTACCATGAGATTAGTGACAGTCATCGCTAGCGACCGCGTAAATTACTTCACACTTTTGTATGAAAAATTGTACACCGCCCCTAGTGGTCAGGCGGTCGCTAACGAAAACTGTCAATGGAAACTCATGGTACTGGTTACACGTTACACGTAGTGCGTTCACAATGACGCTTATTTATGCAGTAATTTACGTCGCCTGATATTAGCACACTTGTCCATCCACTTGGTAACATACGCTTAGACAACAGATGGGTATGCGCCACGTGGGAGTGGTAATTGAAATCCAGTACGCTGTTTTCAATACCACTGACCTCTCATTAAGGCTCCACCTATTATTACGCTGAGAAAGTCACATAGCTAATACCATGTTGTTTCTTTGTTACAGGAGAAAGCTGCATAGAAAAGCCACTGGCGACGTTATGGCGCAACTACCAGCAGTCCACCAAGCCCGACGTGGTTATGAAACTGTCCGTCACCAACTCCGGTCTCAAGGGCTTCACCAAGGAGCACGGCCTCACTGAGTACTGGTCGCACCGCATCACCTATTGTGCCAGCCCTCCGCACTATCCCAAGCTGTTCTGTTGGGTTTACCGCCACGAGGGCAAGAAACTAAAACACGAACTTCGTTGCCATGCCGTCCTCTGCACCAAAGAGTCAATTTCCAAAAAAATAACCGCGGAGCTGCAGATCAAACTGAGGCAGGCATTAGTTGAATTCAAAAAGGATAGAATCTCTAAACAGAACGCTAGGCTAAGCCTTGCAAACAGCGTATACGACAACCCTAGCATGCCACGACGAAAAATCATGCTCAGTGTCGGAGCTATGAACTACCGACCCCCACTTGAGCGCTCCAAATCCGCTCCTAAGCTCGGAGCTATCGAGGAGTTGTGCTCGGAAGAAGATGAAGAAGAAGCAGAGATGAAAAAGCACAGCGATTGCAGCTTGTGGACCGACAATGATTTTGAATCACAAACCCTCGACCGCCGGCGACCAGAGTTGAAATCTCCCCGCAAGTTCTCTTGCCCTGAAGGCATCATGGGCAGAATTCGGTCGAACTCCGAAAGCTCGGTAGGCGCTTCCGACGAGTTGATAAGTATCTTGATCAAGGAAAGCAAAAATGATAACGAAACTAGTCACATTGAGGAAAAGGAAGGAAGGTTAACTTTAGAATCAATCGCTGAATCAAACGAACTGACTGACAATGACGGCGACCGGAAAATGCAGCTGAATCAAATTCTGGCTCAGAGCAACTTCCTCGTCACGGACAGCGACGATGGATCAGTTTCCTCGGGCTGCGAGACCGCCAGCACCGCCACCTCTTCCGATGCCGAGCCCTGTTCGCTTCCCTCCCACTTCTCACCCGAAGAGATAGTAAAAGAAAACGAACGAGTCTCGGTTAGCGCAAGGATACTGAACTTCGAGAGAAATATTACTCGAGACAGTAATAGGAGCTACTCGAACTCAGTTCATGTCAAGAGTAATGGAACGGATTGCCACAATACTGTGAGTGATGAGGTTAATCATATCCCAATTGGCGAAAAGAACAGCTTTCGCCGGCGATCGACCTACCCTCCATTGGGAGTCGATACTAATATTTTAGCAAACTATGACAGCAAATTTGAATCTCTAATTGATAATTTGACAGATGTGGACAGTCTGAATTCTAGTACCGAGACTGAGGTATTTAAGAACGGTGGGGATAACGATAGCGCTTGCAGCGACGAATCGGGATATTCTGAGTTGTTGGAGCACGGCAAGGAGAGCGTCATCGGTAGCACTATCATGGTATAAGCACATTAATAGTTGTAACCCACTATCGTCGGATAGGACGGCCACGACAATGCACGATCCTAGCTAAATTATTATTCGTGTAGATTCTGTAAATGTTATTTTTGTAAATAAAAGAGTACGAAATGTACTCGATCCAGTTGATGTATTAAGTTTTTAGATGTCTGTATATATTTTATTTTAAGTTGTAAAAGTGTCTGTATTATGGAAATTATGGAGATTTTATTTGTATAGCGGTTATTTCACGACCAAACGTGGTTTGTCTACATTTATTACATTTTGTAATAGTTTGTGGGTACTTTAGCGTCGCCTCGACAAGGTCTGTAGGTACTTACACATTCCATATTTATAGCCTCATTGTTCGGGTCATTCATAAGAGTCTGTAGTGAGGTAAAATTTTGCTAAATTAAATCATTTAATGATTAATACATTTGTTTCATTTTGCCTTTTCTTCCACAAATGTGTAAGCAGTGAGGATGACCATATTATTATTAACCATCGTCGCCATAGAATATTAGCTAAGTTCATTGCCTACGGATTGGAGCGATGACACGGGTTGTAACGGTCAAAGAACTTGAAATAGAAACAGCATAGGAGCAAGGTTCCCGTTATACTTGAACTATTTATATGTACTTTATTTGCCACAAAAAATAATTGCAATAAAACGTATCTTTTATTGCATAAAAAAATAAAAATCATAATAAGTATGTTTAGTGCAACTGTGTTGCTACGAGCAATTGCCTTTGTTTAGTGCAACTGTGTTGCTACGAGCAGTTGCCTTTGTACAGGATTGATTTATAGCCAGAACTTCCCTGAAGCTATGGTTTCTCGGTGTTGCCTCAAATTATTTAACGAGATGGCACAGAACATTCACTTGAGTATCTTTGAGCAGTGCAGAAGGAAAAATAACAATAATGGTTTACTTAATACGTTATGAAGTGTTAATTTCAATTATTCAATGTAATATTTTTATTATTTTATTGCAAAAGTTATCTATGGAAAGCAGGAAATACCAAATATATACTATCCAAAACACTAACTAGGTAGAACACGTTAGTTTCTTATTCTCAAAACAAATTTACATGGTCCCGAGCAGTGAAGTATACTACTCATTGGTCCCGAGGTGATTAAGTGTTCTTCTGAATATTTAAAAACATTTCAGTTTTGTTTAAAAATGTATTAATAATGCAATCATTAAGTAGTTTATTGTATAATTAATAAATATTTGATATTAGAAGAACTAAAAATTTATTAACAAAAGAACAACGTTACGAAGGCAAAAAACGTTGTTTCGTTATACGCATTATCAGGTAGGTAGATAGGTAGAGCTCAGAACGTTGAGGGAAAACCAAAAATGGGGAACAGCCAGATTCAACATTTAAAAGAATACTGGTACATTACCATTGACCTACCAAGGTCAATGTACATTACATTTAATAATTGTACAATTAAAATATGTATAAAAATGATAGATGGAAATAAAACGTAATAATTTATAATCGTTCGATTTAATTTTCAAAATCGAGATGTTTTACTGCCCATTGACCCTTTACATATCGTCGTTCAGAAACAATACATTGTAATACGAAGATAAGAAGAAAAACAGTGAGCTTCATTCAACATCTAACAAAAATATTCCTTTACGTATATATCCTTCCTTCCTTCCTCTATATATAATTCCTATTAGTATGTCACAGTAACGACTTTGATATATCAGTAATTATTATTTAAAAGTAAGACAATGCTTAGAACCAATAATAATAGAAATTATTACGAAACGCCCATAACAGTTGCTTTTGAAGGAGTAAAACTTGTTTTTAAAGAGCGTACTCTATTGCGTTATTATGATAGAAATCAAGTAATAAATTAATATATTCAACCATACCATATCCAGTCCAAAGTGATTGCCTCTGGAACAGGTTCGGGCTAAATATTTGTGTTGAAACGATACTGCTGATGCAAAGACGTTCATCTACATAATATCCGGTTTTGTCAATTTTGACTTTGAGACTTTTTGCTTTATTATTTCGATCGTTTTATTTAGATCGTTTTATCTCACACATCTAACCGCCATTTGCTGTGTAGTTTTCCAATACAAATCAATCATCGAAGGATGGCTCATCGGATCCATGGGTAAGAATAATAGAACGTAAATATTTTGCACGTTGAAAACACTGCCGTCACTAAACGAAACTAGTTTTTTCAAATTTAAACTAAATTTCAGATGCCATAAAGACCATTTTCCTAAAGATGACTTATTCATTTATTGCCGGTATCAATTTTAACGTGCGATATATTCAAGACAATATGTATTTACCTATAGGTAAATATTGAGCACAATTCGGTGAAATTGTGAAAACAGTGACTCAGAAATAGAATGTTATTTGATTAACAAGACAAGGGTCATTTTTACAACTGGTACGAATGTCTTTATCGAAATTAAAAATATCTTCATTACACGGGCAAGCAAATTCCACTCAAATTCATCATTGACAAAACACTACTCATTTGGAAGACAGAATGCTTTGCGAAGAATGAAAAAGAAACTTGAAAGGTCGTTTTCTGTAAATAGATATTTTGTCCACATTTTACAATATTAATTTCAAATGTCTTATATAGAAACAACCGGATAGAGCTAAACGGTCACCGCCATGGATCTTTGTTTTCCAAATGCGCAGAAACTGTGTAACAACCTTTTGTCTAAAGCTTTTGTTTCAATTATTGTAACTTCGTAATAGATTATTTTGAATATCAAGAGGAATCTTATTACGGAAGCGTATAACATTGCATCTTAAATTTGTGACTTTGTAAAGATGATCGTCAAGAACAGCCAGTCTATTTTTATTCCTCGTATTAATGTTACGTCTATACCTATTTTTCATACATAAATTACTATTCTTCTTAACATTACTTCTTAACATTTTAGTAGCTGTATCGCCGTTAATTGACGCCGTTGTTATCAGGAAAAAGGCCGGTCTGTCACTATTTTTATTTTTTCCGAGGTGGATATGGTATGAAGTTAGTTACTGCAGAGAAAAGGAGATTTTTTTTAATTTCATTTCTTTAACATTATTTTCTCGGTTTTTTAGTTTTTGTCTCAAGCGCCCTTTCAACTAACGGCGGCAGAGTAGAGCTCCTTGCGAAAGAGTCCGTCCGTCCGTCCAGTGACGTGTTGAAACTGAAACCTTACCTATTTCTACCGCCAAGCAGTAATGTGAGCACTACTGCGTTCCGGTTTCGAAGGGGTGTTGGTGAAATTACAAGCACGTGAGACGTGTCAATTTATGTCTCAGGGTGTTGGGCGCAGTGGCGGTGCCCTTCAGATCATTGTGATTAAAGCTCTGAGTGCTACTGTAACTGTTATGGACAGGCTTGTCGTTTACTAACAGGCGCACGACTCGTTCGTCCCGCCACTATAAAAAAATAGTATAAAAAAATAAAACAGTCACGAAGGTACTGTGACGTTATTGTAAGAATTTTAAATTACTATAAATTTACGTCTCAGAGACCCTCTATAGCACTGTTTGTGAATCGCCTGAACCTGAAGAAAGAAAGAAGAAAGAGCCTGAAGTCCATTACTCAAATAAACTAAAGATGTGGAAAGTCACAAGCGATCAATAAACTACTGTAAGAGTTACTTTATCTTCGTAATTTAACATTTAGATGGCGTATGTATGGTGAGTGTTTATGTAAAATGGCAACCTGTGTAAACACTCTTATGAGGCGGCGAGACGAGCGAACAAACATTTCTTGCCTTTTAATACTTTCAGTCCAAACACTGGATTTTTCCATTTTAAACTGTTGTCAAATACTTTGTTTCGAATAGATTTATGGGCAAACCTGTTTTTGCCAACTGAATAATGCTTTTTTAAATATCTGTCATCGATACATTAAATATGTAGTCTCTAGTATTTTGTACAAGGTGTTACAAAATAAATTAATATATAATAACTTAATGTTGAAGTCTAGTAAAAGGGGATCCTCAAATGGTACAAATACAAAATGTTTGTATCCACTGGAGCGGTTCCGTAGTAAATATTATTCACTTTCATGTCCTGAACACGTTTCTGATCTATATTTTCCCGTGAACATATATTTTATCAGGACAAGACGGTACGTCGATTAGCCAAACAATCCACGATACATGTGATGGCAACGGACAGACTGGGGTCAACCGAAATTCAGTCTGTCCCTACGCAAAGCGACGGAGCGTGACAGACCACCTGCACGCACCCGGACACACGATTTGTAGAGTGACATGTCGTACTACTATTTTGCATAGAAATGGTTATGAAGTTTGAATATTTTTTATATGTTTACTAATTTTGAAATCAAAATTAAGTTACATCACTATTATCAACATAGTTACATAGCACTTTACTCTTCTAAGGTGATTATGGACTTCACACGTATGTGTTGCCATAGGGATTCGAACCGTCTCGACTTGTCAACTGTAAAGCAAACGTTCTTCAACTGAAAGCAACGTATAATGGGTTGAAAATGACGGTGAGGACGAAGTACCATTATTAAATTTCGTAAAAGCGCTTGCACTTGCACTTGCACCTTGGACCTTACGCGAACTCTCACGTTTAAAAAAAATTATGAACTCGAAAATAAAAAATAATAAATAAATTCAGTAAATCGAAAACGTTAACAAACATTAAGTCATTAAAACTTCCGCCGAAGCGCAGCCAAGCAAAAGAGCAAAGTTAGGAAGTTCACAAACGACGCAGGCGCTCTGAGAGATGGATTATTTAAAATCAACATTGAACTTCCGATCAAACGGTTTCGTCGTCTTACTTTGGATCAATGAATAAACTTCGTTACATGTAATATTTAGGTACCAAATAGCTAGTCAATGAAACTGGAACGGTGCTGGCCTAGAAGCGAATGCTTGTTTGTCAGTTGTGAGGTCGAGGGTCGACTGTACTCATGACTTTAATTTCTGAGTACTCATTAATGTTTAGTAGTAACACTTCTCTCTCTTCACCTTTGAAGTGAATGACAACATTATGATGGAACCTACATGCGGAGAAGGTTATCATGGGAAACGTGTAAAGTCATATCCGCGTTTGGCCAGAGGCGGCTCGTTCCCATTATTGAGGTTAGCGATGATGTTTATCATTACGCACTGTCCTTACCGTCTGTATTATAAGACTTAGTAGTGCCAGTTTTAGTACATGAATTTGGTATGAAATGCATTTCGTAAGTGCGTCACAGGCCTTAATGGAGTCGGGCAGGATACAGGTGTCCTGTTAATCTTATTAAATTATAAAAATAAATAAATAAATAGACGTGGTAATAGCCGCAGGAGTAAAGCCTTGACGGAGTGTTGGCCAAGGGCAGGTCGAAGAAATCCGGGTCATC